CACGCACGCGAGCACGCACGCACGCACGCGCGCAGACAGACAGACAGACAGACAGACAGACAGACAGACAGACAGACAGACACACACACACACACACACACCCGCGCGCGCGCAGGCGCGCGCGCACACGTACATGGGGCGGAGTCATTGTGCGGACAAAAACCCGCGACGGGTTGCAAAGACAGCACTTCGCTCAAATCCGTATGGAGCCTTCTTCCAAGCAGATCCTGACGTGAGCATGCCATCATCAGATGAACGTCTGGCCAACCGACAGGGAAGCGGATCGAGTCTGAAATTCGCTATGGCCTTTCTGTTATTCCACTTATCAGAATCACGCATTCTCGTACCCAGGTGTATTCTCATGGCTACCTATGATGAGGGCGACAGCAACAACGAAAGGTATGGTGACCAACACCTGTGGTATGTTACGGTGCAGCCATTGCCTGCGGTACAGACCGAGCATGCTTGATTGATTCTTGTTGTTGCCTGCACTGCATAATCAAGTTGTGTTGCGCGCCAGGTTAAAATCCTGGCATGACTGCATTAATTGGCTCGTTCTGGTGGGCTAGACTATAGACTACCCCTCAACCATATTTGGCCTAAACTTTCGGCAACTTTATGAACCAAGGTTAGACGGTTAGCCTAAGGGCCGGGAGGCTAGAATGGGCTCGCAGAAGCCGGATTTTGACAGCAGAAACTTGAGCAGACAAAATTTGAACTGCAGAATTTGAGCCGACACAACTTTGCACCGCAGAGAAGCGACAGAACATGGATCACACAATTTGATCCAGAAAGGAGCAAGAGACCTGCACCACGACACAGGATGAAAGGCATCACACCACAGAGAAAAACCACACCCACCACACAACAGGGAAGGAACCCGCAAAGCCGCTCCTTGCCCATCCTGGTTTGGGACAAGGCATCGGGGAGGGAGGCAATGGTTTGTGAAATGAAGGCCCGGGCAAGTGGTGTTTGGGAGTGTCTCGGGAGGGAGACAATGGTTAGGGAAGTGGCCAAAGCTGTGCAGTTCAAACCTTGTGGGGCAAACTCCTCTCAAGTCATATCTTGCGGTTCAACATTGGGCCAAATTTGGGCATAGTCCAGCATGAAGGCCTTGGGCGAAAGTTTGTTCGTAACGCCAAAGCATCTTTTTGCACACAAGGCCCGATCTCCAAACCTTTGCGCATTGCTAGGACTTGCACAATCGCCTTGCCAAGCCCTAAACTCTAAACCTACAGCCCGAAACTCGAGCACCCCAATCTGCTGAATCTGCCATGTGTACTACTTAGTAGCTCTCTTGCATCCCAAGCTCTCCAATAAGCAGCTCTTGGACGACGATGCTCAGCAAAGCCCAGAGAATCGGTGACCCAACGCCGAGCATCCTGGGATCCCAGGAAGCCGAAATCGGCGCATGAAAGATGAGACCCTGGGAGCTCCGGCTGACTCTACTATCATATGTTATGTACTACATAATATATAATATTATATACTACTATCATATGCTATGTATTAAGTAATATATATTACTATATATTGCTAAAGATAGAAAAACCTATATTGTACTTTCAGCATGCTGGATGGCTCGGATCATGCCAAAGACGTGCGGGCTGCGACACCATTCTTCTACCGGCTATACACTCTAGTGGTAGCCGGGTGTCCATAGGTATGGCAGCGTATTCCTGCCAAGCTGTTTCCGAAAGGCTGCAGATACCGACGACTGAACCTTACTTCTCCAATAAGCCAGGGAAACAAAAAGGCTTAACTGTCAGATTACTACTAAGTCATGAAAGCCTGAAAAATTTGAAAGGTTGGGTATTGGGGGAACCAAGGAACCGACTTGTCGAAATTGTCGATAGATCCGAACCTCAGAGCAGCTAGCAATCACATGTAGCTGCTTCTTAAAGCTGGTTTTTCAGGAGTCCTTGTAGTAAGGACCCTATATTGATCCTATGTTAGTAGTCCAGGTTCTACAAGTACTACAATAAGCTCTCCTGTTTGCTGAAACTCACATTTCCATACTTTATCAGAAGCAGCTATTGTCTGGCAAGCACTGCACGTGAACATGAAGCATCCGTTAGTTTGCCAGGTGGCCAGCTGCGAATGCACTTCTGCAGGATTTCCCGATCACACAGCATCCTTGCGGCTAAAGGGGTGCCTGACCAACAAGCCTCATGTTGCCACCTGGACTCGTAAATTACGCACAAGTGGCAGCTTCAAACCATCCATCATGACAACCCTAAACAACCCTAAACTCTGAACCCCAAGCCCTGCTTCACAAAGAAGTCGGTAAGACCAACTTCTCAAAAAGGGTCTTCGTGCCATCTCGACGGAGATGGTTGACTGAACCTCATCTCACTCTCAAGCCGTCAGTCATTTAGCATTTAAAGCGCATGTGTGGACAATACGTGATGGTAGGTTTATTTTCAGTTGGCGTGAACGTGCAAATCAGGGCATGTTGCTGACATGGTATCATCCCAGGCAGGACATCATGACAAAGTAAAGACAACATCGGTTTTTATTCACATACATGTGCACACATCTGTATGTTTGCATACATACATGCACGTATGTATGCATGCATGCATGCATGCATACATATATGTATGTACCTGTGTGTATATGTATGTACGTACATAGGTATGTATGTATGCATGTATGTACGTATGCTGCCATTGCTGCATATGTTGTTGCAGCTATCAGGATTGGCAGGCTTACGATAATATGAAAAAAGCAAGCAAGCAAGCAAAGAAACAACCCCCAATGCCTTTTTTAAACATCGAAATTCTTCTGAAAGCTGCGCTGTAACGGATCTAACCGACCTTTCTTCATCCAGATTCTCACGCAACCTTAGAACCGTCTTCATGCTTGCACTTGCATCCCTGTAATACTTGCTTCACGAACCAAGACTATTGTCAAGTCTCACGGCCGATACGAAAACCCAATTGTGTGGTGAAACCCCAACACCCTAAGCGCTGTAAGAACGAAGCGCGTTAAAGCCTTATTCGGAATTCCTACGCCCCAAAATCATGTTGTAATATGATGAATGTAATACCAAATGCAATCATGCATAGCATATATAGATATATAACTATTTATATACACATATTTAAACACAGTATGACAGACTTTGATCTAGGTTACGAAATGTTTCTTTCCGGCGGTGTCACTACCGACTTGCAGCTGCAACCAGGTCACAGCAATGGCAGGTCGTGTCTGCAAAAGCGAACCTGACGAAAGCGGGCATTTGGGCCTGTATACGACAACTCTGAGATTTACTGTAGGGTGGCTCCAGAATGAAAGAGCACGGCTCCTCAAGAGCACCGCTACGTACGACTACTCGTGTCCGTATGACTGTGCAGTCGGAAGAACTCACTCATAACTTAGTCAGTGCATCGTGCTGACTTCGTCGTTTCGTTGTAGCAAGACATCTTATTCTCAGAGGGTTTTCAGAGCACTACAACCAATGACAGACTGTGCATGCATGCTACGCTGCAGACTTTGGAGTGCCTGAAACTCCAGCAAACGCCAAAATCATGCTGATGCCCCAACGATGAAGTGCTAAACAGCCACTCTCAAAACAAATGCAACAGACAAGCGCCACAGCGACCAACGACCAACAAGTAACATCAATAGCGAGGTGGACAGCAGCAGAGGCCACAGCGGCAGCACATCGCCAGTACTAAATCATCGTCATCACAGTCATCATTACTAATGCCGTCGTGTTGACCGTCATAGCCACAACCCAATATCATCGTAAGCGCGTCATGAGCAGGGGTGGTGGCGAAGGATAATTCTAATCATTAATGCCAGAAGCGCCATGAACTAGGGGCCTGAACAATCAGTAGGAAAGTTGTCGTAGTATACCACACAAAGCCTAATGTCCAATCATCATCATCATCATCGCCATCATCCTCATCATCACCGTCATCGCCAGAACCACCATCCCTTGGTACTTTTTTTTCTGGACTCTCCCTGAAGAATACACATGAGTGTTAGGTTTTGGGCCGCGGATGCTGCAGTATTCCCGCCTGCTCAGCTTCTCCTGCAAATTCTGCACCGATGCCAAGTAGCTACCTTTGACAGCAGGCCAGGTGCCACTGTTGCCAAACCCTTTTTTGAACGCAGTGGCAACCCTAAACCCTGAACCCTCAACCCTAACCCCGAAACCCAAATCCCTAAACCCTAATCCTGAACCCTGAACCCTAAACCCAAGCCGAGACGATGATCCGGCTGGGGAGCTGTGGGATTCAAGGCACCAGGTCTCGGGCTAAGGGGCCCAGAGAATATGGGGGGTTTCCGAAAAGAAGGGGTAGCTTAGAAAAGGGGTCCTTATAATGAGGATCCTACTATCTAGGGTACTATATTATTAGGGTCCCCTATTTTCGGGAACCCCCATATTTTATACTATACTGAATTTTTGTTACACACCCCCTCAAGTGCAGCGCCGACCCCTGTCTAGTGCCACTGAGCTGAGCATCAAACTACCAACCCAGAGACTCCAATATCCCTTAATTAAGGGATATTCCTTGAATTATAGTAGGATCCTTCATAATATGATTTAAGGTATATCCCTTAATTAAGGGATATTGGAGTCTCTGGGAAGCAAAGCACCCCAACTTCACGGGCCGTCGAAGCCTTCCATCGGCCCTCGCCCGTTTGCGTGGTGGCAAGGCCCCTCACCCGTCTTGATCTTGCCCTAACCCCCCAGTTACCCTATATAGAGCCGCTAAGGCCCTATATAGTAGGTACCTGGAGGGTTAGGGTTGCTTTGTACAATATGAGCAGCGTGCCAATCCGGAAGCTCCAATCTCACGAAATGGAACCACTGCCCATCAGATGCCTCGAAGAAGTCCTACTGGCACGATACTTATTTCAACAACCGGTCTGCTAGGACGTAGAGACGTTGCTTTGCCAAAGGTGTGCGCCTCTAGCCATGCCCGTAAGTACCGTGACGGCCAAGGCCGCCTCGAGCTTTCCTAAGCCTCTGCTGAACAACCTGCAGACAAGGGACGGAAGGTGTCCACCACAAAATAAAATCCAATGATGCAAAGGGCGCCTGAGCTCGCCCTACTTCGCACGTCAGGGCCCGTGATCTCTGGGGAAGTAACAAGTCCTTCTTTGAATTTAGCTTTAAGTCGAAGGGGAAGTCACTCCTTCAGTCAGAAGCTTGGCATCTTAGCTGCAGCTGACTGAAACCTTTGAATGCGGTTGCAACGGATTAATCCCCCCCCTAAGGCCCTATGCCATCCCGAAAGCTGAAAGGCTGAATTCACAACCCTAGACTCCAAGCATGTTGCCGCACTGAACCAGCAGATCAAGCTCAACCCCGACAAGGGGCAAAGAACGAGCAGGAACCAATACCAGGAGTTGGCTCCAGGTGCAAAGAGATCCTTGGACCGGTCTCTTGAGATTCGGAGCTGAGGGTCGGGAAGGAAATGGTTTGGGGTTTAATGTAAGGGCCTTAAAAATAGAACAGGGTTTGGGGGTATGATATACTATAAGTATAGTGAGGACCCACCCCCCCAAAAAAAACAAACAAACAGTATAGGTAACTATTTAGGCCCCTAAGTTAGGGTTTAGGTGGCGGCTTCGACGGCGGGAACATGCTAGCTGCTACGGGGTTCGGCTCTGGGTTTCGGCAGAAGACTTCCCGGAGTCCTCGGAACCTTCCACGCTAGGGTGCCGAGGGCTTGCTGCCGGGTTCGGTTTCGTGGCTTGTGTGTTAGGGTTTTGTTTTTCAGCACTCAACTAGTCAAGCAGGCGAGGATCCAAGTACCAGAACGATCAGCACATTGGCTACTCTTAAGCACCATTGGCTACAGAGTAATCCTAGACGTATCCTAGGGCGGGTGAAATCAAGACATCCACAATCCCTTCATCTCCAAAATCGCCAAAGCAGACTACCCACCATGTTCATCTCCTCACGATCACGCATAACTGATGCAGCAAAGGCGGAACCAACTTCCTCGAAGATGGTGCTTTGCAGGCTGCCCCAGCAAGTGGCTGATCCTCGTGCTTTACTGACGAGTCTCAGAAGAGTTCCCAAAAGAAGGCCGGGCAGAAGTACCACGACATTTTGGTGTGGCACTGCTGTACACGTAGCCTCCGCCCTGCCCGGCTGGTACATGTGCAATCCAAAATTGGAACGTTGTGCAAGTGGTGCCTCGTAGTGCTGTAACAAGACTATGCTACATCTGGGGAGCCGAATTTCCGTGACTCTCTACGATTCGAACATGAAGAGGCCAGTCAGCCCCCAAATGGGGCGCTATGTGCTTGGCTCATAGATTCGGAAATTCTGCTCCCCCAATGGTTCCCAGGCTCAGGGGATTTTGGATGGCCAGAAGCCCCAACCCTACACGCTAAGCCTCAGCTCTCGACGCTCACTCTTTGGGGGCGCAGCAACAGCAGCAGCAAAGGCCGATAGTGCAGGTGATGAGACCCGCAACCAGCAGGACCACACCCACGGCCACCATGATAATGGCTCGCCCTGCGATTTCAAAGACCTCGAGGAAAACATCACAAAGCTGCATCGACCACATGTCCTCCGAGCTCGTCAAGGTGACATCCGTGTCTTCCGTGAAGCTCAGCTCAGCTGCAAGCTTCAGGTCAGTGATTTTGGTCTCGGAGTCTCCGATCGTCCAATCGAGGTCCTGGATGCCACGCCGGGCGGGTGCACGCTGAGGGCCGTCATCTGGCAGCTCCTCGCCGCCGCAAAGGTCGGTGTTCAGCGTCGCTCCTGTGGACACCACGGCCGAGGTGTCGAAGAGAGTACAATCTGCAGTCTTCTCGATAAAGATGACGTAGGGACAGGCGAGATCGGAGGGCGCTGCAAGCACTCCCGTCATGTCTCCGTCGATGGTAGCGCTGACATTGATGCTGATGTTGGCGATGGAGAGCGCGCCCGCCAGGGCTAAGGCAATCCCTCCGATCACCAGCAGAATGCCAACGCACATAGAAACCTTGGAGCATGTCTTGCCACAGCACGCCATCTCTTCTATGCGGCCGAAGACCCCAAAAAACCCTAAACCTCGGCTTGGCTTTGTAAACGGCTTGAGCCAAAATGAGGGTTTAAGGTTTGGGGTTTGGGTTTAGGGTTTTGGGGTTTCGGAATTCCAAGCTTTGCTGAATTCGCTCCAGTTGCACGGCACAGAGCATGCGCATGCAACTCACGAAGCAATCGAGAAACCAGCGCCGAAACCCAGATTCTGAACAAACTTCTACTCAGCCTGAGCCCACGACTTGAAGAATTTTTACAACCCCTTACACGCTCAAACATGCAGACAAAGTGGAATCCAAGGATCAACTCCCAGCATGGTTCCCCAAAGGCTGAGATACAGCACAATCATGCTCAAGCCTCGGTCGGGAAAAGGAAGGAATTCTACTGATACCGCTCTACCTGAGCTCGGAGATTCTGTTTGTGGTTCTTGGCTCTCCGGCCTGCACCGGCTTTGATCAGAATGCAACAATGGCGTGCGGACAAGCCACTAACATGCACAACCGCAAGTTGACAGGATCTGCTCTGAAGACTGTGACCCCCCACACGGCGCCCTACAGTAGCAAATGGATGCATCTCTCATTGCTCGGTCAAGTTATGAAAGGAGCCGGCCTCTAGGTGCCCAAGCCCAGCGATCGGAGATCAATTTGGGGACTTGGGATATGGGAAAACCAATGCAATTCATGAGATCTGATACAAAATGCAAGGTTCGGATGCGGCTGCATGGCTGCCAAAATGCCCAGGCAACTTGACAGCCTTTCGGACCCTAAACCCTAAACCCTGCTTGCGTGGGCAAAGGACACCCATTCGAAGGCCGCTTGTCCACCAGTGACTCAAAGGGCCGCTGGAGCTTCACAAGGATTTAGGGGTTTGGGGGTTTAGGGGTTTTTTTGCCTTCTATTTAGGGGTTTTGGGTTTAGGGGGTTAGGGGTTTAGGGTTTAGGTGATAGGGGCCCGTTAGGAGTTTCGACTCTCTCTCTCTCTCTCTCTCTCTCTCGCACAAGCAGGCAAGGCTTACGGGTTTAGGGCATCGCACCTCTGCCGCGTAAGCTGAACTTGCCAGCCAAGCAGCCGAGGTGTGTTGGCCGAATGTAAAGGTTGGCCTCCCGGCTTGCAGAAACGATAGCACTCTTCCCACACCAACACGGCTCGCGAGCCTTGAAGCCTTTTCCATATAGTGATGAAGGATTGACGATGTACGGTCTAAGCATAATGATGCTGGCCATGATACGGTAACACCTGCTGGCAGCACCAAGATTGATTGTTGTAAACATGTGCCAGGTCTCTCTACAGTGTTATAGAGGGAATTGTGTTCTATGTCGGTCTGAGCCGTGGGTGGAGCACAAGCGATCTGCTTCAGCATTGCAACGGCAGTCAGCAGTGTGGAGGTGTTCAGTGGTTTCGAGGTCAATCACTTCGATACCGTGAAGAGAGGGACACGAACCCAAGCCAAATGCGTAAGGCACAGTGCTGCACATCCTCCTGACATTCACCACCTGAAGCCCAGTCCAAAACCTCGAAACCCTAAGCCCGAAACTTCTTCCATGCGCCTCCTCACCATGGCTGAAGAGAAATGCGGCAAGCTCGAATGCGCACCAAAGCCTCCGAAATTCGAGTGCCACAGATGGTGCCCTCAGTGGCCTGAGGTTTCGGATCTTGCAGGCATTCCGCCGCCCTGCACCGAGCTCTTCATGATCACCCATTTCCGTATGTCAGGAAACGCCTCAAGTTCAACAGACTGAACCCTTTGCGTCACCAGGCTGAACCTTCAACCGTTTTGGCGGCACGGTTAAAGCTTCCATATCCCTTGCCATAGTCCCAAGTCCTGAACCTTTGGGCCCTTGAGATTCTGGGATCCTCTCAGCTGTCCAGTCTGTCACTCTGTGCCTCTGATCAGGAATCTAACCCACACACGTGCACACCCGAAGGCACTATAGGCACTATGTGGCGTCATTCTATGCTATACGGATCACAACATATCATAACCAACTCAACACCTATTCGCACGTGCCTTTCCATGTAGGTCGCGTCCCAACATACCTCAAACAGGCATCGACTCAGCACTAAAGGGAACAACTTCACACGAGACGTTGGAGGCTGCAGTTTGTGCATCTGCATCGAGCAGCAAGTAACCAGTGATGCTTTCACCTCTCGGAAGTCACAACAAATGCTCCCGGTTCTTGCGGATGCCAAGTCTTCTCGAAATATTGAGACATGGTCGTGATCCAAGCGAAGTGCCAGCATCGAACTCGAATGTCGAAGAATGGCCCCCATGTTCAGAAGACCGCTTCCTTTGAGCCGGCGGTCCTGGGCACATTGGGTCCGAGAAGAAAGTCAGCTCGGGTGGTTGGGGATGTGCGGGCCATCCAGCACGTGGCCCTGGAGCCAGCAACCTGTACTGTCTATAGTCCAGAGGCCGCAATAAACGCTGGAAAAAAAACGGACAAGGAGGCAACACACACAGCCAAAACAAGTATACAAACAAATCTTATGGCATGAAGTAGGGTTGGGGGTAGACCGGTCTTTTCGTTTGTCCCAGGATAAAGCTGTGGTTCCTTTGTTGTTTTCTCTGTTGTTTTCTCGGTGTGTTCGCTCCTTGGCTGGGCCGTCGTATTCCTTTCTATATGGCTGGACCATCAGTCATGCCCAAATCGTCCTTGAGATCCGATTGGTGCCGAGGTTCCGTCTGAGAAATGCAAATGCGATCCAGGAACACCAGGTGATGCGGCCGCCACAAAAAGAAAGTCACCTTCAAGGGCTTGTGGGGTCGGGAAGACTTGGCGTTCTTTGTGGTGTCTAGGCCGCTACAGTCTCCAAGCAGGGCCGGTTCGTCTCTGCTTTGAGTTCACAGAAGATCCAGCAGACGTGACTAGACAATATCCAAAATCCTGAGCTGAAGGCTGTAACAAGCACAACAGAGTTGCCTGAAGCCCTCGACCCGCGCACGCCGGAAGAACAGACGTGACAAAACTGTAGCAAGTCAGACTTGGAAGATGGAGAAGCGCTTCCTTGCACCCTGCCAAATGCCGCCAGGCCACCGTGGAAGCCAATAAGCCACTTATGAGGCTGAACCTTGGTACACACATGGTTTTTCCCTTTTAGGGTTTAGGAAGTTTAGGGGGCAGTTGGAGCAGTAACGCCTGTTCTTCAGCAGGAACCGCCGACTACGAAGCACAAGTAAACATTGCTTCGCGATCATCCGCCGCCTTGGGTCACCAAAACGGCTATGCTTGCTTGGCAACAATATTGTGATCCCCAAGAATTCCAAAATCCCAAATCAGAGAACGAAAAACCGTAACAAACACATCGGAGATCAAGGCTGCGTTTGCCGGTACGTGTGTTGGAAATGGATTTTTCACGTTGCAGAAACAAGCGAAAAACACAACATGCATTTTTCGGCACTCGCGCTCTAAACTCGAAGCCGTTTTGATGCAGGCTTGCAAGCAAGAATGCCTAGTAGGTCTAAAACCTCAAACCCCAAAGCCCCAAACTCAAATCCTAGCTACATCAACGAACCGAGGCACAAGGCTGCGCCGGGAGTTCGAGGCTGGCATCGGGAAGAGGGGGGCTTTAATGTAGACGCCTACAGAATTAGAGTACGGTTCCTTTAAGGGGCACTCACGAGGGTTCTAAAAGGAATTTATAAGGTTATAGCGGCTTTAATGATTAGAATAGGGTTTGGGGGGTATACTAAAGCAGAACTATAATAATAGGGAACCCTCAAGAACAACATTTTGTATTCCGCAGTAGTTGAAGATGAATTGGAGGAGCGACGGTACATTTGCAAATGCACTTGAGTGCAAGGCAGGTGGTTGATTGTCCGAGCAAAACTCTGCAACACTCAACACGCCTCCTTGTCCCCACCTCTCGAACTCAGGGAAACGTAGAGCATCAACATCTTCACGATAGGTATTGTGCAGCTTAGGGCTCGCATTACTCAGCAAACATCAGGACAAGAGTTTCGCAATCCGCAGCGTTACATCATGATCGAAACAATAACCACAGCAACAAGGTATTGGCCAACACAGAAGCTCATGCAGCCGCACGTGATTGCCGAAATTCACGATACAAGAAGTGCAAAAAGCTTCCGAAAGCACTGCCACTTAACAAAGTATTGCTTCTAAACAGAAACGGAAACCTCTGTCTGGCTTCCGACTACAATCCGCAGGCCAATGAACCAGAATTCACAGAACGTGCCGGAGACTGAAAATTGAAACCTCGTATGGTTTACCGAGATCGACAGCCGTACAGGCCTCGGTCGCGATACCCGCGAGATGCTGCACGATAGCAGCAACTGTTGCGGCAATAAGCCCAACCTTGCCATTGAGCCCGGATGGGTTCAAAGATAAACTGCAGCAGAACCACTCCATATAAAGACCTGGAAGTTTGGGCAGTCCTGTTTTCAACTGCATCGGATGTAAACTCCAACGAACAGCACACACAGGCAAAGAAGTACTTCAACGAAACAGCACCTGGCCACGAGAAGAAGGCAACATAAGCCCCAAATGGGTAAAACCGGATTAAAACGACACGACACGCCAACTGAATATCGTAACACAACGACCCCTCCGAAATCTTTCCCCCGAAGGTTGAAGTTCATGCAATGAAAATGCGACGGCTCGCGCAGGTGGGAGCAGGGTGTCGGAGAGGGGCAAGTTCCGAATTGCACTTGCAACTCTAAATACGCCAAGCGACGACCAAGGCTGGTCTACCACTTTCCACGATGAGAAGTAGGAGGATCTTCCTCAGCAGCAGGGCTTCGTTTTGCCTGGTTTGGACACCCAGGCTCGAGGTTTTAGGGGACGCTTGGCACGAGACTCCCGCTGCTTCAAAACAAAATGCCCCTACTTGAGACCATGGGAGCTACAGTGTCAGGCGTGTGATGCTAGCTCCTACACCCTATACTGAGAAACGCTAAACCCTAAATCCCGAAACCCTAAAACCCTGTAAGCCCTATACGCGCAAAGCCCAGCGCACATGCCCTCATGCTACAGCCATGCCCGGCCTGCTACATTTCACATCGAGACTTCCCCGAAAACCCTAAGCCCCTAGGGACCCTACCTGTGGGAGTCGGTGCTTCTCGGTCTAAGTACATAAGGCCATAAGGCTTGAAACTTGCCCTTGGCAGCCGACACCGACGGTCAAAAAAAGCTAGCTGTCGTTCGTGCGGCAGACAGCTACCCTCCTTCGACCGTCGGAATCTGTGAACGGAAGGAACCCCGTCTGCGCGACAACCGCGTGCAAAAGAGAGACAAACCGACTAGGACGCTTCGCAACTATGTCTGCTGACATGGAATTCGGTCCTGCCAACGACATTACATGTTAGACAAAGATTTAGCCCTCCCTCCCTCCCTCCCTCCCTCCCTCCCCTCCCCCTGTACAATAATCAGCTTCATACAGACACGGATACTGGCCTGAACCAAAAGAACCTTGCAGGGTTCCAATGACTGCAGACCGCACACTGCAAGGCGCTGCCATGCCAGTTGTGCGAGACGAAAACTTGAATCTGACCTGAGATTTCCCGACCGCTGGTGCAACTGTCAGATGTCTCGCTTGGCAGCATGCGATACTCAAACCTCTGCAGCTGATAAAGTGGAATGTGTCGTCGTGATTAGAGCTCATGACGGCGGGCTCTACAAGGTCACTGGTTGTCAAATGCCGCCAGATGCCGGCGAGAGACACGTTTGACGACTGTGGCAGAAAAGGTCGCGTCCCAGTGAGTCGTTGCGTAAAGCTCTTCCAAAGCATTGAAGGACCTGCTCCGAGCAGTCCAACTGAGGGGAGAAAGACTCTAACACCCTGTTGCAAAGGAAGTCGCATCTCAGCAGCCGCCCTTACAGACTCCCGAATCACAACCCCCACGATTTGCACTGTCGCTTGCCTTTGATATTGGGTGTCGCATGTCGGGGTGTAACAACCAGGAAGCTTTGGATATGCTGGCCTTGTAGGCGGGGGTGCCACGGAGAATTGCAGGATGAGTGACCTCAGCCGGCATGGGCGAAGCGGTGAATGCGAGCGTGGGATTTGCATCTTCACGTGGATTCTTTGGTTTGGTCGTGGCCTGGTCGGAACCATCGTCTAGACTGCACTCACGCAGTATAACACGCAAAGATTCCTGTAGAGTTTAGGGCCAGGGTCTGGGGTGGCCCGAAACTCCATGCGAAATGATCTCAGTCTGTAGTCAGCAAACTCATATTCGGGGCGAGCCATCCCAACATTTCAACATCAGCTGTTCTTCTCTAACGGTGTCCGTGTTCTGAGCTTCGTCCTGTACTTCCTGTCCCGCAGACCTGTGATGCGGCCAACTTGTTGCCTGACTGCCTGCTTACCTACTGCTTACGCTTTAGGATTACGGGTAAGGCTTCGGTCTACAAGCCCGTCCTCCATTTTGGTCAAGATGTTCGCCACTCGCCTCAGGCAGACACTCTGGATGACAATTCCAAGTTTGAACCTGGGTATGATACCCAACCTGAAGACTCTGCCTAAGGAGGCAGGGCCCAAATAAGCGAGAACTTGCCGAGTTGCTCCTGTACAGTGTTGAGCACATGGACGCCCTTGGGGGAGTCGTCCTCTGACTCAGACTGTACCTCCACAGGTGGTAG